TTATCTTTAAATAATTGTGTGTGTTTTTCTTTTGTTATTTTAATATTTCATTCCAGCAACTGTTTGAAAATCTTACAAAAATAAACAAATTGGTTTTTTATATGTGTTTTTTTTTATTAGTTGAATTTTTTATATTTTATTTTGGGAGCGAATTCATCAATTTGCTAAAACACACGTAAACCACAAATTTTATTATTTAACTTTGAAACATTTATTATTGAATTTTATTAGACTTTGTGTCTAAAATATTTGAATATGCAAATTGTTTAAATATATACAATTTCATATTTCAAATAACAAATAATAGAATATATTGTTGTTTTTATATAAATTAAAGGAAGAAAATGTAAAGTATGATATCAGTTTATTAACCTGTGCCCCTTCAGCAGCATTTCAGGGGGTCTAATTGAGGCTGCTGTCTAAGCTAGTGTACTTATCTTGTATACATAAAGCTTATAGGAGTAGCTAATTAGAGATGATAGATTTAATTCCTCTCCACAACTCATTTGAACTTTAGTAATTAAACTTAAACAAAAGTGTGCCCATGAAATGGACTTATCACTGATTAAAAGATTAGTGTTATTACCCAAAACAACACACATACAAGTAGATTTAATTGCAAATAAACGTCAACTTAATTTAACTATAAAAATAGTTTTTAATTAAAAAAATAACTCAGCATGACAATATATCCCAATGACGTAAAATTGTTTAACTGCTGACGTAAATATTTCCTTAAAATTTATTTAGATATAGTTTTTTTGAAACTCGTGCGTATGATTGTTACTACAAAAATAAATATTCTTCATACGCCACCTATGTATATAAGATAAGTTTAAAATTTTTAAAGATTTATAGGGATGACTGACTAATTAAGAAATTATGTTGATATTTGTAATGGCCAACAATATTGGTCCCACATCCACCGTAAAATCTAACAATGTCCATTCGTCCATGTAAAACTCATTTTCTTACCATGGCGACACACTTCGATAAGTCAGTTATGAACTGAGAATATAGCTGATGCAAAGTAGAGAAGCTTTTGGTTATACAAAGTTTAAACATCTGATAACATAAATATTTGACAATTTCCTTAACATGGATTTAGATAAAAATTTTTCTGAAACTCAAGCGTATGATTGTTATTATAAAATTAAATATTCATCATACGCCACCTTTTTATATAAGATAAGTGTAACATGTTTGTCCTTAATTGTTCAAGAATTACATCCTTCACCATCATAGTTATAATGGGGGAATTTTGAATTTGGGTTGATGTTTGTAACGACCAAAAATTTTGGTCCCACATGCACCGTAAAATCTAACAATGTCCGTCCTTCCATGAGAAACTTCTTTTAATTATAGAAGACTTATTTCTATACTACGGGTACACACTGTGAGAACATAGCTGAAGTAAGGTTACAGGTAATATAAAGATTACACAAAGATCAACAAGGTTACACAAAGAATCAGAATTTGGATCTCACCGCTAGCTTCCAGCAATGTTTGTATAACTACCCGTCAGTTCTACCTCCATTATATGTCAATCAATTCTTGAACTCCTTACTTGCGTCCCAATGACGCAAAATTGTTCAACTGATGACGTAAATATTTGATAATTTCCTTAATATAGATTTAGATTTAATTTTTCTGAAACTGAAGCGTATGATTGTTATTAAAAAATTCAATATTATTCATACGCCACCTATGTATGTAAGATACGTTTAAAAGTTTTCTCCTTAAATGTCAAAGAATTACATCCTTCGCCACCATAGTGATGACGCTGAAATTTTGAATTTGTGCTGATATTTGTAACGGCCAAAAATATTGGTTCCACATTCACCGTATCATCTAACAATGTCCGTCCGTCCATGTAAAATTTCTTTTAATTTGAAAAGACTTATTTTCTTATCACGGGGACACATTGTGATAATGTTGGAACAATGATGTTGTTGACCAGAAACTCATACCTCAATTTGGGTTCCAATCACAATTCCTATGTGAGATCACCTCTTTAAAAGCGTATACGTAGTATTTCGGACATCCAAATCGCCTTTAAACATATGTCGGCTTAAATTCAAATAATCTAGAGAATTCATTTAAATTTTCCCCTAAAACATTTACAGATACCAACTTGTTGAACTAAATGAAAAAGATTGAAATTTTTGTAACAACAATAAACTAATAAATATTCATTTAAATAAAAGCTAGCGCCTGATGCTATGCCATACATAAAGTACAAAGTTCATAAAAGAAAAATAATACAAAATTTTAAATTAACATACAATCCACCCACACAACACACCTAAACGAAAACGCAATCATTACCACACAACCGCATAACGGCTGTTAATGTTCAACACAATCAACTTCTGCTCTTTTGGTGAATTTACATATAAATATTTAATTGAAATAAATACATATTACAGAGATAGACAAATTTGTACAACTACTACTAAATTATTATCATTTCATCAAAAAGTCAATTGTGCTGGTGTTTGATTTTATGAAATAACTTATGAAAAATTTATTAAATTATATTACGGCTGATAAGAAAATCCCATAGAATTAAAATAATGGAAATTTGATAAAACACAAAAGGGCAACAGTTTTTATACATTACAATTGCATTTTGATGACAGTTATTATGGCAAATTATTACCAAACGATAAGCCTGATACCGGAAAAAACCAAATCTAGGTAAAACAAAAAAAATATGGATAATTTGCAGAGGTTGTGTGTGCATTCAAGTAGATTGGGGGTTGATTATATGTAAATGAGGGGTTACAGTGGTAAAAATTAATTTGATTTGTTTAGAAATTATAGATGTTGTAGTAATGAAAAATGATTTTTAATGGAAGACAGTTTTTTATAGTAGAATTTTATTATTATTTTAAAATTTAGTAGTTAGTTAATTAATTAAGTAGTTAGTTAGTTAGTAGTAGTTAGTTAGTTAGTAGTTAGTTAGTTAGTTAGTTAGTTAGTTAGTTAGTTAGTTAGTAGTAGTTAGTTAGTTAGTTAGTTAGTGTTAGTTAGTTAGTTAGTTAGTTAGTTAGTTAGTTAGTTAGTTAGTTAGTTAGTTAGTTAGTAGTTAGTTAGTTAGTTAGTAGTTAGTTAGTTAGTTAGTAGTTAGTTAGTTAGTTAGTTAGTTAGTTAGTAGTTAGTTAGTTAGTTAGTTAGTAGTTAGTTAGTTAGTAGTTAGTTAGTAGTTAGTTAGTTAGTTAGTTAGTTAGTTAGTTAGTTAGTTAGTTAGTTAGTTAGTTAGTTCGTTAGTTAGTTAGTTAGTTAGTTAGTTAGTTAGTTAGTTAGTAGTTAGTTAGTTAGTAGTAGTTAGTTAGTTAGTTAGTTAGTTAGTTAGTTAGTTAGTTAGTTAGTAGTTAGTTAGTTAGTTAGTTAGTTAGTTAGTTAGTTAGTTAGTTAGTTAGTTAGTTAGTTGTAGTTAGTTAGTTAGTTAGTTAGTTAGTTAGTTAGTTAGTTAGTTAGTTAGTTAGTTAGTTAGTTAGTAGTTAGTAGTTAGTTAGTTAGTTAGTTAGTTAGTTAGTTAGTTAGTTAGTTAGTTAGTAGTAGTTAGTTAGTTAGTTAGTTAGTAGTTAGTTAGTTAGTTAGTAGTTAGTTAGTTAGTTAGTTAGTAGTAGTTAGTTAGTTAGTTAGTAGTTAGTTAGTTAGTTAGTTAGTTAGTAGTTAGTTAGTTAGTTAGTAGTTAGTTAGTTAGTTAGTTAGTTAGTTAGTTAGTTAGTTAGTTAGTTAGTTAGTTAGTTAGTTAGTTAGTTAGTTAGTTAGTTAGTTAGTTAGTTAGTTAGTTAGTTAGTTAGTTAGTTAGTTAGTTAGTTAGTTAGTTAGTAGTAGTTAGTTAGTAGTTAGTTAGTTAGTTAGTTAGTTAGTTAGTTAGTTAGTTAGTTAGTAGTTAGTAGTTAGTTAGTTAGTTAGTTAGTAGTTAGTTAGTTAGTTAGTTAGTTAGTTAGTTAGTTAGTTAGTTAGTTAGTTAGTTAGTTAGTTAGTTAGTTAGTTAGTTAGTTAGTTAGTTAGTTAGTTAGTTAGTTAGTTAGTTAGTTAGTTAGTTAGTTAGTTAGTTAGTTAGTTAGTTAGTTCGTTAGTTAGTTAGTTAGTAGTTAGTTAGTTAGTTAGTTAGTTAGTTAGTAGTTAGTTAGTTAGTTAGTTAGTTAGTTAGTAGTTAGTTAGTTAGTTAGTTAGTTAGTTAGTTAGTTAGTTAGTTAGTTAGTTAGTTAGTTAGTTAGTTAGTTAGTTAGTTAGTTAGTTAGTTAGTTAGTTAGTTAGTTAGTTAGTTAGTTAGTTAGTTAGTTAGTTAGTTAGTTAGTTAGTTAGTTAGTTAGTTAGTTATCGTTTCGGTGCATGTTAAGCTATCCCTTACAGGAGTTTCAATTAAAACACTAACACTTATTGCAGAACAGTTGTATGTTTCACTCAAACGTGTAGTGCCTGATGATTACGAAGTCATATAGTCTACCCAATTTCTTGGTGTAGGGTTTCAAACCTATACATGTTATTAAAATTTTTATAAAATTCCTTAATGCTAAATATAGCTTTCTTACCTGTTAACCAATAATTTGCATAATTGTATCAATGTTTAAGAAGAGCATTTTTAAATACTTCTAGTTCAATAAAGTATTGTGTGAGCTGCTTGACACATATGCATATTAAGTAAGAATAATTATGTAATGTAAGATATATAAATTATGTATAGAACACTTGTCAAATAATATGTAGCTATTTGTATACACTTCTGCTGTAAGTCTCAAGGTTTATTCATAAGTATTAACATAATTTCTTAACCATTATCTTCTAAGTATATAAATAAGTAAATACTATCTTATATTAAATCTCTAATATTTTTATGAATATTAATATGCACATATGATTCAAATATACATTTAATTTAAACTGACAGCAAACCTACGTTATCCTTTAACTGCTGTAAGCTATTTTTTCTTTATTTTCTACTATAAATACTTCAGTAAATTGCTGCAAATAGCACAGTCATCGTTTGGTGTTTAAGTCAACCATAACTTGCAACCAGTTTTTAACAGGAAATAATTTTAAACTAATAAAACTTTTTGTTTAAATAAAATTGTTAAACACAATTTCCAACAACATGAAATTATTGTGCCTTTTTGTATTAATTGCTGTCATCTACGAAGCCAATGCCAGTACTAAGCGTTTGTGTGGTCCTGTTTTGGCACAAGTTTTGGAATCGGTTTGCATTAATGGTTACAACTCCATTAAAACTAAGAAATCAGGTAATTTCCTTAAACCATACTTTGCTGTATAAATTGTTTATATTTTCAACATTTTATACAGTACCAATGGTCCACAATAACTTAGATGTTTTGGATAACTACAATGATATGGAGGGTGAAGAGAATGCACTCGCTGCCAAACACTCATTTTTGGATGACTTATTAATGGTCGATCATATTAATTCCGTGGCCAAAACCCGCAGACGTCGTAATCTTTTTGGTATTTATGATGAGTGCTGTGTTAAGGGCTGTACCTTTGATGAATTGACTTCCTATTGTAAATAGATTTTCGGATTTTGAAATTATCAGTATTTAAGACATAAGCGACAACGACCAACGAAATGTATATTTTTTCTTAATTTAGTATTATTTTATGAAATTATTATTGAAGAATAATATTACTAATAAAAGTGCTAAAAAAATAATGAAGATATTGCAAGCAAACAAAAATTATTTAACTATTTTATGTCTATCATTATAATTTACATAAAGTTCTCTTTAACTAGAATAAGTCTGAGTCCAAAACATAGTGTTTGCATTTATATATATACTAACTACTAACTAACTAACTAACTAACTAACTAACTAACTAACTAACTAACTAACTAACTAACTAACTAACTAACTAACTAACTAACTAACTAATAACTACTAACTAACTAACTACTAACTAACTAACTAACTAACTAACTAACTAACTACCTAACTAACTAACTAACTAACTAACTAACTAACTAACTAACTAACTAACTAACTAACTAACTACTAACTAACTAACTAACTAACTAACTAACTAACTAACTAACTAACTAACTAACTAACTAACTAACTACTAACTAACTAACTAACTAACTAACTACTAACTAACTAACTAACTAACTAACTAACTAACTAACTAACTAACTAACTAACTAACTAACTAACTAACTAACTAACTAACTAACTAACTAACTAACTAACTAACTAACTAACTAACTAACTAACCTAACTAACTAACTAACTAACTAACTAACTAACTAACTAACTAACTAACTAACTAACTAACTAACTAACTAACTAACTAACTAACTAACTAACTAACTAACTAACTAAACTAACTAACTAACTAACTAACTAACTACTAACTAACTAACTAACTAACTAACTAACTAACTAACTACTAACTAACTACTACTAACTAACTAACTAACTAACTAACTAACTACTAACTAACTAACTAACTAACTAAACTAACTACTAACTAACTAACTAACTAACTAACTAACTAACTAACTAACAACTAACTAACTAACTAACTAACTAACTAACTAACTAACTAACTACTAACTACTAACTAACTAACTAACTAACTAACTAACTAACTAACTAACTAACTAACTAACTAACTAACTAACTAACTAACTACTAACTAACTAACTAACTAACTAACTAACTACTAACTACGAACTAACTAACTACTACTAACTAACTACTAACTAACTAACTAACTAACTAACTAACTAACTAACTACTAACTAACTAACTAACTAACTAACTAACTAACTAACTAACTAACTAACTAACTAACTAACTAACTAACTAACTAACTAACTAACTAACTAACTAACTAACTAACTACTACTAACTAACTAACTAACTAACTAACTAACTAACTACTAACTAACTAACTAACTAACTAACTACCTAACTAACTAACTAACTAACTAACTAACTAACTAACTAACTAACTAACTAACTAACTAACTAACCTCTGGTTTCGTTATAAAACTCTAAATAAAACAAAAATAACTCATATTCTCCCTGTAAAAGTTAGACGCATCCAAAGTAGCAATATGTTAAAAGATCCGTATTTTTTAGGTCTTTTCACAAAAAAGTCCTTAAACAACAAAATTTTCTTTTGAACTAAAATTAGAAAAATTATTTCAAAATTAACAAAAATGTTTGCATAAATTAATATTTCGTAAATTTTACCATATTTATTCAAAATTCAGTTTTTTCAATTTATGTAAATTATTTTTTCCAAGATTTCTCTGCATTATACTAAAATATTTCGTACAATTTCGTATATATTACGAAAGAATTTCTTGGTGCGAAACAACGAAAGATTCGTACAATGTACGACATTTTTCGTATATATTAGGCATGGATTTTTTTCAGTGTATTTATATGGATCTATATCTTCCTTAAATATATCAGACGTCATTTTGCTATCACACGGCACTCTTTTCAAAAAACTCGTTTTTTGGAACACATTTTTTCGCTATATGAACTTTGGTAGTTCTAAAGAGAATGTGAGAAAACTGGGAATGGTGTTATTTTAGATCGATTTGGATCCATATATGTCCAACATTATGTTCCGAAATCGTTATCTCTTCAAATTTTACGCTGAATTAAATTTTATATTTGTGATTTCAAAAAAATCTCTATATTATGATAAAATCAAAGATCCTTTATATTGTACTGGCATACCCTGGGTGCTTCGCTACCCTAACTTAAATTATATACATTCAAAATTTTGTTTACTTTTATAGAAAATTAAAATTGATTAAACATTTTTTTAATGTTTCAGTTTTATACGTTCAATATCACGTGATTAATTCGCATTCAGTAAGAAGCTTGTCTTTTTAGTTTCATTCATTTAGCTTCCACATTATAGAAAATTTCGAAAGTAATATTTGAAAAAAAGTACCATAAAATACCTCTAATAGATCATCATTTAATAAAAAATTTTATGTTTCTGTGTTCAATATTATATACAATTCAAAAAATATAATTTGAAGAATGAAAAAGTACCAAAAGTCCCTTTTAGTAGATTCTCATTCACTAAGGTCCCTATATTTTAAATTTTATGTTCAATATCGTAAAAATATCAAAAAGTACCATCGGAAAAACGAATAAGTACAAAAATCTCTCTCAACAAATTCTCATTTAATAAGGACCGTGTGTTCCGGTTAACCATTATAAAGGATCTAAAAGGTACCATTTGAAGAATAGTAAAGTACCAAATAGTTCCCACTTACAAAATATTATTCAGTCAAGGCCATGTATGTTAAAATTAATGTTCCTAGGTTGAATATTTTAGAAAATTCAAAAAGTACAATTTATGGGATAAAAAGTACTAAAAAGTTGTCTCTTAAAGAATCTTATTCAATGAGAACCGTGTATGTTTAATAATCATATGTTTTGAGTTCATATTAAAGAACATACAAAGAGTATAATTTGAAGAAAGAGAAAGTACCAAAAGTGGAATAAATTTTACCTAAGTGGAAAGTACTAATAAAAAGAGTACAATGTTTCCCCTTTTCGCTTAGAAATATACTTTTTTGAGAATTAAGTTTACAAAATGTTCCGTATTTAAATCTATATATCACAGATAAAACTCAAACGATTCAAATCTGCATTCATTTGTTTCAGAAAAATAGTGCTTACAAAAAGTACCAAACAATTTACTCGAATTTGGTCCTATATATCCTTAGTACTCGAATTCCAAAATAATATACCAACAGCTTATTTTGTTTGTGTATATAAACTACTTTTTCATATTTTATAAAAATTGGCTCAATGAGTTTGAATAAAATTAAATTTCCCGTTTTTCCCTATTTGGTACTTTTTTCCCCAGTGAAATAGCAAAAATTTCATTACAATAAATATTACAGAGTTAGTCCGTAATTTAATAGGAATAATTCAATAAACCGAAAAAGTTTTCTTAATGTGCTAAAAAAAGTACCATAAATACAGTTTTCTCCCATTTACACCCAAAAAGGACTGAATTTTAAAAAAGTACGAAACAGGTGTCTTATAATTTTGGGAGATGTATCCAAAATATTTATAAAAAATTGATTATGTTAATTATTTCAAAAGTTATAAAGGGCCAAAAAAGCTACCAATATCACCTTTGTTACACATTTTTACCCCTTAAAAGTACGAATTTCAAAAAAGTACCAGACACCCATCTGCTCATTTTAAGAGTAGATACAGGTGCATTTAAAATTTTTCTTGTATCACTAATATTGTGTAAGATAATTAAGAAAACCTGTTTTACCCGTTTTTCCCCTTTTTACCCGTAAATATACAAATTTCCAAAAATTCCTCCTTAATGGATCTACATAACCAAAAACACATCTACTGTCAAAATTTCATGATTCTCAGTAATCAGTCAGTAACGCTACTCTTTTATATATATAGATAAATGATTATGTTTTCAATGATACCAGATATTATATAAAAACTGTAAACTTGATCACCAGAAAATTCCCAAACTTATATGTACTCCTTTGATATTTTTAATCATTTTTTTTATAATTTCTATAAATAACAATCTTATTACCTTTTAATAGGGAAAAAACAAGGAGACCCATACCATAGGCTGTTAAAAATTTAAAAAAATAAAAAAAAATCCATATAAAAATTTGTACAGATTTCTTGGTTAAAATTTATCACTGATCTTATACACTTTTGACTTTGTTTGTTTGATATACTTTGTACATCCCAAAAACATTCTCTAAGTTGATCAAGTCGTGTGTCGTTTGTCTGTGTGTTGTTATGACAGTACAGATCATAATTTGAAAGATAGAGTTTCTTCGGTCCCATTTGATTAAACTCTCCCCTGAGATTATTTTAAATATTCTCATAACAGCTGTATACTATTTATTACAACAATCTACACTTGCTTAACATTACAAGGACTTCGCTACATGTATAGCTCTTACTTTATGTGTTATTATTTTTTTATTTCCAGCACATTTATACTTCTTTGTATTCAATTACTTTAAAAATATTTTAAAAAATTTTTTCATTTAAAAAAATTTTCTTATTTAAATTTTTAAATTTCAATTTTCAGTTTAACTTCAAATGAGTCACACTGTTTCACTTGTATTGTAATAATTTAAAAAAATTTTAAAAATAAATTATGCCATCATTCAATTTTAACGTATTTTTTTCTGTTGGCCTTCATTCCAGTTACACAATGCAGTAGTGGTAGAGTTGTTTTGAAGGGGTAATTTATTTTGTTTAATTTCTCTTTCTACATTTCGTAAATAATTGATTTTTTTTTTTATTTTATATTTATTACACTTTCACTTGATTTTTGTGGATTTTTGCTGGGTCATTTAAACTTTTATTTTAAATAGCTGGAAAAACCGAAAATAAGAAAAAATATATTCTCTTTTATTTTCTTTATAGGAAAAACTTTAGTAAGTACGTTTAAACGCTAGCACGTCTAAAAGTTGACTGAATTTATGAAGTTTTCCTTCGCCTGTCACATAGACTGTGGTTAATTGTTAAAATGTTTTTTTATGTGCGAGTGTGTGTGTTTGCAAGTATGCAGGTATTTTGTGTGCGAATATGCCTGTAAGTATGCAATGTTTACAACACAAACGTGTGTACAAAGTAAATGTTTAAAAAAATATAAACACGCAAACAGTTACGAAAACATACGAGGTTTGGTAATA